GTCGCTGCTAAGCACGATTGTAAGCAGGGAATAAAAAATGATGACGTGGAGCCCCCCATGAAGAACCTTGATGAAGATTTTGACGTACGCATGTTAACTTAATTATGAAACAATCATTGTCGTTTCAGAAATAACATTTGATCTTCCACGTACATGATGAAGCATTCGAAAGAGCTGCTGCAAATATCAAACAGGATCTCAGTGGTATTCATAAGCTTTTGAAAGAGGTGAATGATATCCAGGGAGCTCCTAGTTTTGATAAGCAAATGCATTCCAAAGCCACCACAAGCCTTGAAGATTTCCAGGTGATGCACATTTTACCTATAATTGAGCAAGAATCTGCTAAAGGCTAACACGCGGTTTATTTCGTCTGACAGAATCCGTTCAACAGACGGAGTAAGCAGCACTCTGTGAAGGCTACGGGATCGCGAGATCCTGAAGAGCCCCGTGCCTTCACAGATGATGACAACCATGATGAATCCTTTGAAAAGCAGCAACAAATAAGTGTGGTTGTATCGACGCCACCAAATCATGGGGGCAAAAAGAAAAGGGTGGTATTGCAATTATTTAAGAATGACGAGTATGCTTCGTATGACACTGAGAAGAAAAAAAAGGAAAAAAAGACTCCATGAGAGTGTACAAATGATTCCGAGGACACGAACAGTAAAAAGAGGAAAATCGGCTCTAGCAACTTAAAAAAGAGGTCAGAAGTTCCTGAAACCCAGAGGGACCAGCTAGACGTGCTTCGATAGGATTTTGTGGCGTCACTGATCAACACTACAAATCGTGAAAAACAAATGGTGTTAGTTGATGACATTGTCGTGCTATCAAAGCATTTGCAATGCCTCACCCATAAAGATGAATCCGAAGATGGCGTATGGTTGGGTGACGAAGTAAGATAGTATTTCACAATTTTTTTATGAAGTTTCATTTTTGTACAATACAATTAACTTGATTATTGTTGTAGGTGGTTGATGCTGCGATCCAGCTCATGCGTAATGATCAACCAATTGACACAAGGGACGGCAACTGGTTTACATTGAGAGGGTGGCCGGCGTCGCTAAGCTCGAAAGAGATGGTAGGATAGAGGAGTGCTACGAGGACGCTTTGGTAGGGATTCCTGGAACAACACAAGGAACCACCTACCTGAAACATGATATGGTATATTAAGCTGACGTAGACCAGATTTTTTATTACTATGCACGTTGATCTAATTATCTGTGCACTCTAGGTTTTCCTACCTATGAAAAGTTTGTACACCCACTGGTTCTTTGTGATCGTAAACCCCATAAGGAAGGAGATTCAAGTTCTTGATTCACTTTTCCACTGTATGATACCCAAAGAAGTAAATAACGTGGTGAGAATTTCAACATATTTAATTATAAGAAAGGATTTAACATCGTATGTAAGTATTAGTCGTAGGCAACTTCTCATCCCATTGGGCTTGCAAGTACGTGGGATGGAAGCACATCTGAGAGCAGCGATGCGAGTCAATGGGATTGAAAGCAATGCACGGGAAGACATTAACGTGACGCAATGGCCAGTACGGAATATTAATGTGCCAAAATCCGATGAGACGTCAGTCAACAATATTAGCTTTTGTTTTTGTTTTAGATTGTTAATATCTGAAATGCTAATCTAACAACATAAAATGTTGCAGTTCTGGTAGTGCATTGTACATGCTGAAGAACATCGAATTATTTATGTGAGTAAAACTAAGGTTGCAATATGACAGAAGTACGTAGAGGAACACCTAAAATTTTGTCATTTTCTGAAACATATGGAACGATACTAACATATCCTCGCATGCAGGCCTACATCGACAAATTCAGAAGGGAGCTACCTGCTGTGCTTGTCGATTCACCCTACAACAAAATGAAATACGGGACTAGGTTCAGGCAGTACCATGCTAGGCAATTGGATGTAGCTGTGGTTGAAGACGACGAGGATGCAAGCAGTTAGTCCAACATTGTGGTTCATTCTTACATGTGGAGTGTACACTTGGCCATAAAGCGATAGAGTAGGGTGTGGTTGGGTTTTAGTCCCGAAGAAGGTTTCTTAGCCGTGTTATTAGTCCATTGCACATGAGTCAAGTTGTAAAACTTCAATAATATTGGTTACTATATTTTGCTTGAAATAAATTTGGTCTCTACGGGATCTCGTAGAAATCTATATTTGCTTTTTACTACCATGTGACAATAATGGTGCCTGGGGAAACCCTAGAAGAATAATGGATTATGATATGTCTATTTTCATACGAGAGAAAAATTTATTAAAGCATGAGCATAGCCTCACAACAGAAGTCAAAAATACTGCCTGATTCAACACGCAATCCCAGCTATGTCTCGTAGGCAGGCCGCAAAACCAAAAAAATAGAGCATAGGATAACAAGAGAAAAAGCACGTACCATAGGGGGCCTCTGCAGGTGCTGCAACGCTGAATTGAAGCGATCACCTTCAGGGGCACAGTGGTGTGGCGATGGTACATCCATCCCGCCTCATGGAATCACATAACATGTTCTGTCATAGCCCTGCAAAACAGAGAAAAAATTACTACTTGTACTAACCTTGTCAAGTGTGTGCATGTAACAAATGTTGGACATAACTAAACACGGAAGAATGAAATGCAACATATGGAAGAATCGAATGCTCATTCCTTTCTCTCTGCTTTTTGCGAGGACCATTACTCTCCCTTTAACAAGGCTAAAACATTATAATAAGACTTAACAGCAATCTTGAAAAGATGGATATCACATGTGAATCTAATTTTTCATATAAAGCACGTCTGTTGATCCCAGTCCAGCAATTGCACAAGAAGAAGCGAGCATCATAAATATTGAGCAACACAAGCTATGAATTGTTTATAGTACATTCCAAAATTAATAGCTTATCATCTCCATTGATCTTCAAATCTCACCTATCAGCCAAATTGAAAGAATACACGTTGAATGCAACGATTGAACATTCGTAGATCAAGCAGTCGGGGGTGGACGAATGGGGCTGGCCATCGAGGCCGGCGGCCGGCTTCATCTAGTCCCGCAGAACATGATCCATACCGAACCACCTTGCCATCGGACGAGATGCATGGCCAGATCAAAGCTGCAGCCATGGCTGAGAAATGATATGTAGAGGACGCAAACAACCAATTGGGGTGTGGGAAAGAGGTTGCCCTTGTGGCTATAGGCACCCGGATGGAGAACTGGGAGGTGGAATGGCGCCGACTCTTCGCCGGCGGCCGCCGCGGGAAGGGCAGTGGGCCTCCTCTCGTGTTCGTTGAAAATGCGGTGCGAGATCGCGAGGGAATTGGGGTGGAGGAAGGGAAGGGCCGCGACGCGCGGCTAGATCCTGCCGGCGACGAGGGAGGGAGGGGCCGCGACGAGCGGCTAGATCCTGCCGGCGACGAGGGAGGGAGGGGCCGCGACGAGCGGCTAGATCCTGCCGGCGAGGATGAAAACCGTATCGGCGGCAAGGCATAAACCCTAGCGAATGGGATAAATATCGAACCGAAAATAGCCCTCAAACTCATACCGAAAAATACCCTCGAAATATTTGGGAGGGAAAATCAGATTAGTTCAAAATATTTTTTCTCCCGAAAATGCCCCTTGGGGTCTGATATAATACACGTGACATCGGTGTATTGCATCGGATCTGGACCGTCGATTTCGCTTCGACAGACAGTCCATATCGTTCGGATGCACTGTAAAATGACTATAGCTTTAGCGGGAGAGATCTCAAACGCTACAGCGGGGCTATAGTGGAGGCTTTTTAAAACGTTGATGGTGTTATCATTGATCTCCCATCATCATTTTGCCAAAGAAGGTAAAGTTGCTCTGACTTAGTTCGGCCCAGAGCCAAGGGTGGTGGTCAACGACCCTGGATTGTTCCGTGAAATCCTATCAAACAATCAGGGGCACTTTGGGAAGCAGAAGTCCATGCTTCAGATCGAGCGACTGATGCCCAATGGGCTGACAGCCCACCAAGGCAACAAGTGGGCCGCCCACCGGAGGATCATCAACCATGCGTTCCATCTCGACAAGCTCAAGGTGTCAGTCATGTCACCCCCCCTCCAGTCAAACTCATCAACCCACATTTGATGTCAAAAAATAATCATCAACCCACACGCATGGTTTTCCACTTCTAGCGAGCTCAAGGCTCATGGAGATTGGCTTTTGCAGAGGATGTTACCGGCTTTTGCAGCGTGTTCTAGTGAATTGGTGCGAAGATGGGAAACTCTCTGGAGCTGGGTGATGCGCGCGAGATAGATGTCTGGCCAGAGTTCCAGAACCTCACGGCGACGTCATCTCCCGAGTGGCGTTCGGGAGCAGCTTCACCGAAGGGAGAAAGATCTTCGGGCTGCAATCGGAGCAGGCACAGAGTGCTGTCAAGATGGCAAACGTAATGTATGTTCGAGGTTACAGGTGAGCTCATACTTCCAGACAATCAATCATAGATATTTGTACAGCTATTTGTGTTGTTTATTATTCCATGTGCAAAGAATTAGATATCCACTCAGCCGCACAGAACGTAGAAGATGCACCCCTAAATAAATCAAAAAATACCCTTGAGCTTAAAAAGGCTCAATTATTCTCATTCGTTAGATCGGCCATATAATACATGTGCTCTGGTGTATTATAATGCACCGTAAAATCTCTCTAAAGCTATGCACTTTTAACGCTAAATTGAAAATGGCACTAATGGTATTCTTTTTCCCGCTATAGCACTAAGTATGGAGTCATTTAACCTGCTAAGCGCTTAAAAAACCATCCTTCTCCATTATTTTGTGTTTATTTATGAAATATATTGTTATTGAATTAGGACACCTGAATGGTGCTCGGTTTATTTACGTCAAGTATATGCCTGATTGTATATTTATTTTTAATTTTTTCATGATTTAAGAAAAACGCTAAATGATGCTTAGCTTCGCTATAGCCAAACTATAGGTTTTTATAACTTCTGGCCGAGCCACCCCTAAATAACGTAGCCCGCTATTTAAAAGATTGATCACCATGCGGCATACGGCCTAATCGAGAGGGGTAGCCAGTTACCGTGTTCCTTGATGACGCCGTGGTCGAACGGCGCCACTCGGGCGGCAACGGCGTGCGAGGACAGCGGCATGGGCTGGGAGCACGCCGCCGCGACGAGCCGCACATAGTCATGAACGTCGCCGGAGGGGAAGCGGTAAGGCGTGCCGCGGACGCCCTGAGACCGCAGGGCCCGAGCAACCCTCCGCGGGCGGAGGAGCCAAGCGCCGGCTAGCGCCCGTCCCGCGCACCACAGGGCAGCCAGCAGGGCCGCGAGAGTGCACAGCAAGATCCATGGTGGTGAGTCGAGAGTCGCCATGCCCTCGTGGCGATTGCGGTGATCCCGTCTCTCTCTCTCTCGGTCAGTCCTTGTAATAATCTGTATATGGGCGTGAGTCGTGACATGGCAGGGGAAGAGACTAAGATAAAAATTTCCAAGGCGGCGTGAATTTTCTCAGCTTGCTACGTGTGCCATCGTGGTCCATTCCTGTGTATGAACGTGGAAGTCCTGGAGCACGCGCACTGCCTGGAATTCGCGGGATCCGCACGCCCTCGTACACGAGCACTCGAGGTTAAAACTCCGTTCAACGCCTGCACTGCTGATTCTACGTACCTCCTCGGCTCTGCCGGCCCGACACTATAGTCGTTGGGTCATGCCGTGCTGCGGGCCGTGCCTTGCTTTCACTGTTAAAAAAGCCCTGCCCAAGCCACAACATTAGACGACACCAGCCTGCAAGGAAGCTCTTGATCTTCACCTCGGCTCCATTTTCGTCCCGACATATTTCCTGGACGTTATCACAAACATCAGAGCTGCTGCACCATGTGGCCATGCAAGCATTCTTCGGGAGATAGATCAGCGCCGAGCTTCTTCTAGGGAGATCTCTTTCCGCCATGCAAAGCGGGATTACAATGGCGAGGCACATGCTAACGCAGACTCAGACGCTCATACATACATATACTCATTCCTATAGACATGCCCTCACCAACTTTTAAATTTGTAATGCAAAACAAATTAGCAGAGCAACCCGTATATTTGCACGGCAAGATATTTTTTATTGTCAATGATCTCCGATAGATATGTGCTCTAGCATGTACTCCCTCTGTAAAGAAGTATAAGAGCATTTAGATCGCTAAAGTAGTGATCTAAACACTCTTATATTTATTTAAGGAGTGGTATATATGTTCTTACATACTCATGATTTTTTATTATGATGAATTATTAGGATATTACAAATACACAGTTTTTTTTCACGAATACACGTTGTTGCGTATCTTTGTATTGATAGGTAGAAGAGAGGGTTACAGATTGCAGCCCCGTAGGACGTGCGCCATCAGGCGCCCCATGAGGTGCAGGTGAGCAGAGGGGGGAGGATGCTCAGCCTCGCTACAAGCTATTACAATGCAGGGATAATTGACTCTAAGCCTATGGCACCGGCGCGCGCCCAAAGTCGAGCCTCGTCGCGGATGGTGCGCTGTAGATCATCGCATGAAGGTCGGGCATTGTCAAACACCGCGGCGTTGCGGTGCTTCCAGAGGGACCAAGCCACAAGGGCAATGAGGGAGTTTGCACCCTTGTGGAGGCTGGCTGGAGCGGTGTTGGAGGTGGCAGCCCACCAGGCTTAGAAGCTCGCCGAGGCAGCGGGGGCGGAGGCCGGCAGCCTGCACCATGAGAGGATCTCATGCCATGTGATTCGAGAAGGCGCATTGGACCAAGATGTGGTCGATGGTCTCAGGCTCCTGGCAGCAGAACTTGCATAGTGGGTCGTGCGGGAGTCCATGGCGAGCGCGCCGCTCGGCGGTCCAGCAACGATCCATGGAGGCGAACTAGAGAAAAAAAATTGGCATTGGCGGGAGCCCAGCATCGCGAGATGAGGCGCCAGAACGGAGAGCCTGTCGATCCGGCAAACAAGGCTTTGTAGGACGAACCGACGCTATAGGTGCCGTTGGTCGTCCATTTTCAGGTGATCTTGTCGGGGTCGGTGGTCAGTTGCACGCGCTGGAGTCATCGCCACAGATCGACATATTCGACAACAGCAGTAGGGCTTAAGGAGCCATGGATGTCGTGGATCTAGAGGTTGTCTTGGAGAGCGCCAGAGACGAGCCGCGCGCGCCGTCGCCTATGCGGGACGAGCGGGAGTAGCGTCGGGGCAATCTCGCTAATGGATGATCCCTCAATCCAGTGATCGCACCAGAAACGGCAAGACTTGCCGTCCCCAACGCTCCAGAAAGTGGATGCCCGAAAGAACTGCTGGACATCCTCGTCATGTGGGAGCTGGAGATGGCTCCAGGGACGTGATGTGTCTGTGGCCTGCAACCACAACCATCGGGTGCGGAGAGCGATGTCAGTGCGGTGTATGTCGCGCACGGCGAGGCCCCCAAGCTCAAGCGGCCGCGACAGCTTAGGCCAGCCGACGAAGCAACAGGCGGTTTTAGCGTCCTTGCGACCGTGCCAGAGGAAATCACGGATAATCTTGGTGATCTTCTTGAGGATGGAGGAATGCAAACTCAGGGCGAGGAGAAGGTGCACCGGCATGGCCGTAAGCACATGGCGCACCAGTGCTAGGGATGGCAATGGGTCGGGTTTGGGGCGGGTGGAGCTGTTCCAAATCCAACCCGTGACCCATCTTCCTACCCTCTGCCCATCCACCAAATTATCCATGGGAACAACTTGTGCCCATGCCCAAACCCGCTGGATACCCACATACCCTTGGAGCTCCATGGGCATAGAAAAGTCAGCATGAAGCCTTCCCAAAGATCAAATTAGCTCATTGTCATTCACTCAAAAATGATAACATAAGCTACATGCACAAGTAGGCAACAAGTAATACGACACTACAAGAAATATGTCAACTTGTGACCACCACTATTGGTCACTGAATGGTCACAAATTTCCATTTGTGACCTTTTTGTGACAAAAAACATAAGGTCAAAAGCTGGCCGTCATAAACTGATTATAGCGACCTTTCTTCTGGAATGGTCGTAGACGTTTATAACCAAAATACGTCTACTGTGACGTTTTAGTCACTAGCAACCTCCCCAGGCCACGTAGGCATCTAGCGTGGCAATCTGACGTGGCACAAGATTCAACCCGGTCCAATTCGATTTTCTACATGGGCCTAGCCCAACAATTCAGCCTTTTTACTATATATTTTCTCTATTAATTTTCTCTAGCTACATGGGCATGGCCCAACAATTTGGCCTTTTTATTTCATGGATCATGGCCTTTTTGTGATCTATTTCGTTTTTGGGCCTAAGCCTTTTTATTTACTTGGCCATCGCCTTTTGTTCATTGTTTGATTTGTGGCCTTTTTAGGGCCCAAATAGTATATGTTTCATTTCCGACATATCAACAATAAAGTATCAACAATAAAGTAACCAGTATTTTGGTCCAGAGAGCCCCAATCACACAAATTTTCATAAATGGCGACCAAAATGAGTATATTATATATATTACAATCATGCCATAGTTCACATCATCCAGGAATTTAGAACAACTACAAAAGTGCTGCTATGAAATACTATAACAGCCATTCACATCATCCAGGAACATATAATTAGCTGCAAAGATGAAGCATTCCCTTTTTCTAACTTCTTGAGCCTGGAGCTCCTGTAAAAGACAGGAAACGATCATTATCATGGCTGTGAATTCAGAATGAAAGCAATATCCTCAAACATACAACAGCTAGGAAAAGAATATTGAACAGAATAACAAACCAATACACAAGCAGCTAGGGGTCGATCCTAATGCATGAGGGCACGGATAACAATAGCAACCATGAGTAAATATTAGCAAATATTATATTGGTGGAAAAAAGTAAATACCAGCAAGCTCTAAGAAGACTCCAAGAAATTGATGGCTCACAATACAATCATGCTTTTGACAACAAATACTACTAGAATTAAGGTGCATAACATATTCTAAGCAGTGTTAACATCATGATAGTAACAATTAACAGTAGCAGCTAGCAGGACATCAATCAAGCACAACAAAAGTACAACACCACACTTGGGATCTCGGAGCAAGAAAAAGATCATGTTGCTTAGGAGCTACCACAAATGATACTGATCAAGGGCAAAAACAAGTTGGTATGATATCATTCATCCATTCGTTCTCATCACGATCATACATTGAATTCATTAAAGGTTACAGATTCATTTTTTGACATAGCATTGGAAAATCACAAGAATAGTATATGAACCAAAGTGTCCAGATAAGTAGATAACACATGGAGGTCACAATCACATAGCAAAGGAAGAGCGGGACAGACCGAGGACTTACCCTCTGGACAAATCAAAGACTTCACGCTTCCTCTTCCTCGGTGGACAAATCAATGACTTCACTTCCTCTTCCTCATGCACCAATAGGAAGACCATCTCAAACACCTTGGTGCCAACAAGAACTGTACTCACACAGTGAATAGAACAAAAGAACAGAAAGCACACGTATATACTGAACAAAAGCAACAGCCAGGAATAGATGACTCAACAGTTCATGTTTGTTAACAAAACAAGTGTGGACATCTCACAGTGAGTTAACTATCTGATGACTTTAGTAAAACACATACTAGCATTTGGTGCTACAAGAGACAATAGGAATCCAACTATCCCAACATCCCAACTTGGTAAATCCATGCTGCTAAAAGGCCAATCCTAATCGGTTGGAACTGGACCTGGTTTCAAACATGTGAGCTACAACTATCGTAATACCACAGCCCAAAAAACCCTACAAATCCATCAAACTACTGTGTGTAGGTTTGGCATCAGTGGTGTCACAACGTACAGTCCACTTATAGTCATTTGGGAGAAAATTAAAGTGATAATTAGACTGCCATCACAATCTGCTGGTAACTTGCAGTCTACTTACAGCTACAATGATGTCTTAAGAGTTACAATCTAAATACACAAAACTTAAGAACATGGGAATAAACAGACCAACCCCCACATTCCAATAATTCAAATACTCAGTAGTCAAATGTGTATGCGTGTGCATGTAAATGTATTGAGGTTATGCAAAACTATGGTGCATTTAAACTATGAGATCATTTGGTCCACACATTTAGATCATTTAACACAGAGAAAAGAAAAATAACAGAGGACTGCATATGAATGTATGTGTCGTTTCCAGGATAAGTTGGCACATAGAATGCCACCAATCAGGATATACCACACAACAGAGAATAGCTTGTAGCGTCCGAGACTAATCTTCATGAGGAACACAAATCATCCTCAGGAATTGGTAATGAACGCACATCAATCAAAACAAAGAACAAAAAAACAAATGGAATTTGTGTTGTCCCTGCAAGTGCCATAAACCTGCAA